CTTTTCATTTGGGGGGGGGGGGGGTCGACGATTCTAAAATAAATAAAACTGAGTGTCTAGATGCACTTTCACTTTATGCATCGTATGATGTAGTCACAAGGGTTTAAACTCCTTTATGAAAAATAAAAATAATACTTTCGGTTAGAATATGTAGATGACAAGAGTAGTGATACCATACATGTGCGCTAAATTTGACTGAAGGTTTTTTCATATAATATGCAGGCCTACTTTGTAAAGTGGGGACAGGATGGCATGGTTGATCTTAAACATGAGCTCGATCAACTCCTTATGTTTATCTCAAGTCGGTGCCTGCTCGGATATGAGCTTCATGCGATGCACGAAGAAATCTATTCATTGTTCCATGAACTTGAAAAGGGCGTAAACATTGTCAGCTTCTTCTTCCCATATTTTCCAACTCCAACAAACCGCCGACGTGACAAGGCACATGCAAGACTGAAAGAAATATTCTCCACCATTGTGAGGTCTCGCAGGTCATTATGCTCCAGCCAAGCCCAAGAGGATGTACTACAAAGATTGATTGATTCCAAGTATAAGGATGGTCGCTCTGTGACTGAAGAAGAGATCTCTGGCATGATGATTGCCCTCACTTTTGCTGCAAAACGCACTAGTGCTCACACTAGTATATGGACCGGAGCTCGCTTGCTAAGCAACACCGAGTCATTAATGGCTGCCCTTAAGGAGCAAATGCATATCATCAGCAAGTATCAGAACCAAATAGGATATGATGCCTTTTTAGAGATGGATACCCTACATAGATGCATCAAGGAGACACTTAGGATGCACACACCAGCGCCAGTGTTATTTCGGAAGGCACATGAAACATTCAGGGTGCAAACAAAGGAAGGCAAAGAATATGATATACCTGGAGGGCATAATGTTGTAATTCCTACGGCACTCAACCATAAGCTGCCATGCATTTACAAGGACCCTGAGGCATACGATCCGGATCGGTTTGCTCTTGGAAGAGAGGAGGACAAAGTTGGTGGAAAGTACTCTTTCACATCTTTCGGTGGTGGAAGGCATTTTTGCCCCGGAATGTCCTTTGCTTACCTACAAATTAAAGTTATATGGAGTCATCTGCTGAGAAACTTTGAGTCCAAGATAATATCTCCATTCCCCAAGACAGACTGGAGGAACTTAGGTGGAGAGCCCAAAGGGAAACTAATGATAAGTTATAAGAGACGTCAGCTGACGTGTTAGTTTTTTTTTATAAAAGTAACTATATTTACTTGCTTATTTAGTTACGACTGGAATTACTCCATGGGTGGTCCACCGTAGAAAGACTTTGTATTTTTATATTATTTCAATAAGGTTACTCCATGGGGATTACCCGCAAAAAAAGTTAAATGGGGATGATTACTTTAATTCGATTACATACTGAACACTACTGAAGTTCATGTCATCGCACATTGTTCAAAATCCCTATCACATGATTTTATTGGAATAATTACTAAGCAATGTTGTGAGATCAAGGGGGTTTCATCGCACAAGGTGGACAAAACGATATGCGATGGGTATGGACAGCAGATACACAGTCGTTTAGGCTAACCATAGAACATTGGGGGAAATACGACCATGTGTTCACAATCTTTCTTTCTTGTCATCCGTGTGCTGATAAAGTTTGAGTTCCCAATGTCCATAATAACCTATCATGAGTAACCACCTTCATATGAATTGTACGCTCTTATCATTATTTATCAAAATTAACAAGATATGTATTATCACTTATCTAAAGCCTGATCATATATGAACAATATGCACAAATATTTTCCATTGACTCCCAATTAACTTTGACTTGAGAACTAGAGATATGGTGTTTGTCTTCCCAAGTTTACTACATAGGGATCAACCTATAAAGATAAAATCAATATGATATAATGGGTTTTGCAATGACTTCAGTAAAATTTAATAATTTAATAAATCGCTAGGTGAGGTTATGTCATCGCCGGGGAAGGCTAAGATATTCAAGTGCATGCTTATGATCTATAAATCTTGTGAGGTCCTGCAAGGTTAAGGATGAGAAATATCAATTAAAATGTGATAAGCAACTTCAATGGTGTTGGTGCAATCTAGTGCTCCTTGAGTGTTTTGGAGGTTGTTGGACGAATCAGTGATATACTAATGTGATTGCTAGTGCACATAGAGAAATACCAGTCCCTGGGGTAAAGAGGAGTTTGCGATAAACTCATGCAATGACTATCTACGTAGTAGAGAAGTATGCCAGAAGCCATCGATGGGATTGCTATCAAGAAGATTTGGACTCTGAGATGACCGCCAAAAATATTGTTGAGTTAAAGCAATTGTTACGTGTGTCGTTCGAGAGAAAATGACCGCAACAGAGAAGAATGAGTTGAGACTTATGTGTGCTGAAGCATAACTGGGATATATCCTAAGTGAGTTGAAAGAAATCTCAACATGCGTTGAGTGATTACTTGTCTACGAGAGGTGAAGTTCTTATGGGCTGCGAGAAAAATAGCTCTAGCACTGGAGTCATCTTTATTTGTTACTCAAGTAAAGTGTCAGTGTCCTTTTGAAATCAGACCATTGGAACTATGTCGCCTGGCCATTGGTTGGGATCTAGGCCCTCATTGGTCATTACACCCTCGGGATTGCTCTAGCTATATATAGGCACTTGGACCTACCGTTATGGTCGACAACTCTGTTTGATTTTCGACAAGATTGTCTGAGCTCCCCTCTCTGAGTGATTTGAGCGAACCTTTTGATAGAAAAACCCATAGCCAAAATTTACATAGTGGTTCACACTACTAGGGAAAACCCTAGTAGTAGCGCGAGGTTACACTAGTAGAAAACAGGGCTTCAGTCGAGGCCACATAAGCGCATTAATCCCGGTTCAGTCATGAATCGGGGCCCATGGGGGCATAGGTCCCGGTTCGTGAGGCCAGGGGGCCGGCCGGGCCTCGCGGGGCATTGATCCCGGTTCGTCTGGCCCCTCTGGTCCCGGTTCCAGACACAAACCGGAACCAATGGGCCTCGCTCCTGGCCCACAACCTTTAGTCCTGGTTCGTGGCTGGAACCGGGACCAAATGTGGTCCTTTAGTCCCGGTTCCAGCCACGAAACGGGACCAATGAGATGCCTATATATACCCCCTTGCCCGCGAGCAAAGCAGTGGAGTGCTCTATTTTTTTTGGCCAGCCATCAGAGAGTTTTGTGGTGCTCTAGCTCACCTCCTATGCACATGAGGGGTTCGATGAAATTCCCGAGCCAAACTTAATCTTTCTCCTCTCGAAGCTCCTTGTGCAAAGTCCATTTTCCTCTAGATTTGTCTAGGTTTGGCGGTCCGTCCTGTCCCATCCCCGTCCTCACCGCCGTCGATCGCCCGCACCGATCTCGTCGCCGGCACCACCATGGTGAGCCTCTTGATCTTATCTTCTTTCTAAAAGAAAAAAGTTCTTAGTTGTATGATTTAGATAGATACTTGTGTAATTTTTTTACTTTTATTATTGTTTGTTATTATATAGTGCGATGGTTTTGGTATCCTCCTCCGTCGGCCCTCGTCCTGTCTATGATTCAGATGTGGTATATATATTATCTTTTATAACTATTTGGTTCGTTTAGTGTTTATGACAATTATGCCGACCAACGTGACATATTTTTTTTTATCTAGGAGGTATGTGAACCGGAAATTCCAACCGAACCTATTGTCGAGAGGTTAAATTTAGTTGAAGAAGAAAACAATTACTTGAAGGAAAAATTGAAAAAAATTGAGGAGAAGAAGATGATATTGGAGTTGCATGTTGCGGATTTCGTCGATGATCACAAGATCAAGATGGATGCAATGCACTTGAAGATTAAAAAGATTATAAAATATGCCATTTATACTGAGGCTTGGTATCATTATGCCGTTGGATCAATTGTTACCTTAGTTGCGATGATGATCGCATTTGTTGTTGCATTGAAATGTTTTACATAGTTTCAATGTATGGTTTAATTAGATGCCCTGGAGAGCTATATGTTGTTCAATGAGAACTATGTATGTACTTTGGTTTTAACGTGATGATGAACTTCTATTAATTTGGTCACTTATCTATTCATGATGTACGCAGATGAACCGGCAATGGATGTACGATAACATACGCACCTTTGAGTACATTAAGGGTGTGAATAATTTTATCGCAGTGGCTGAGGCAAACAAGTAGAATGGTTTTATGTGTTGTCCATGCCCTATATGTGAGAATACGAGGTCTTACTCTGACTCAAAAACCCTTCACACCCACCTGATTTATAAGGGTTTCATGCCACACTATAATGTTTGGACCAAGCACGGAGAAAGAGGGGTTATGATGGAATATAGCGAAGAAGAAGAGGATGATGACAATTATGTGCCCCCTGAATACGGTGATGCTGCAATGGGGGAAGCTGAAGATCAAGAGGAACCAGACGATGTGCCCGATGATGATCTTCGCCGCGTCATTATTGATGCAAAGAGACAGTGCGAAAGTGTAAAGGAGAAGCTGAAGTTTGATCGCATGTTAGAGGATCACAAAAAAGGGTTGTACCCCAATTGAAGATGGAAACACAAAGCCCGGTACCACACTGGAATTGCTACAATGGAAGGCAGAGAATGGTGTACCTGACAAAGGATTTGAGAAGCTACTGAAAATATTGAAGAAAAAGCTTCCAAAGGATAACGAATTGCCCAACAATACATACGCAACAAAGAAGGTTGTATGCCCTCTAGGATTGGAGGTGCAGAAGATACATGCATGCCCTAATGACTGCATTGTTGGAAATATGCCCTAGAGGCAATAATAAAAGGATTATTATTATATTTCCTTGTTCGTGATAATTGTCTTTTATTCATGCTATAATTGTATTATCCAGAAATCGTAATACATGTGTGAATACATAGACCACAATATGTCCCTAGTGAGCCTCTAGTTGACTAGCTCGTTGATCGACAGATAGTCATGGTTTCCTGACTATGGACATTGGATGTCATTGATAACGAGATCACATCATTAGGAGAATGATGTGATGGACAAGACCCAATCCTAAGCATAGCACAAGATCGTGTAGTTCGTTTTGCTAGAGCTTTTCCAATGTCAAGTATCCTTTCCTTAGACCATGAGATCGTGTAACTCCCGGATACCGTATGAGTGCTTTGGGTGTACCAAACGTCACAACGTAACTGGGTGACTATAAAGGTATACTACGGGTATCTCCGAAAGTGTCTGTTGGGTTGATACGGATCGAGACTGGGATTTGTCACTCCGTATGACGGAGAGGTATCTCTGGGCCCACTCGGTAATGCATCAACATAATGAGCTCAAAGTGACCAAGTGTCTGGTCACGGGATCATGCATTACGGTACGAGTAAAGTGACTTGCCGGTAACAAGATTGAACGAGGTATTGGGATACCGACGATCGAATCTCGGGCAAGTAACGTACCGACTGACAAAGGGAATTGTATACGAAGTTGCTTGAATCCTCGACATCGTGGTTCATCCGATGAGATCATCAAGGAGCATGTGGGAGCCAACATGGGTATCCAGATCCCACTGTTGGTTATTGACCGGAGAGCAGTCTCGGTCATGTCTGCATGTCTCCCGAACCCGTAGGGTCTACACACTTAAGGTTCGGTGACGCTAGGGTTGTAAAGATATTAGTATGGAGCAAACCAAAAGTTGTTCGGAGTCCCGGATGAGATCCCGGACGTCACGAAGAGTTCCGGAATGGTCCGGAGGTAAAGAATTATATATGGGAAGTCAAGTTTCAGCCATTGGGAAAGTTTCGGGGTTCACCGGTATTGTACCGGGACCACCAGAAGGGTCCGCCCCATGGGCTGAAGTGGGAGGGAAACCAGCCCCTGGTGGGCTGGTGCGCCCCCCCTGGGCCCTCCTCTGCGCCTAGGGTTGGGAACCCTAGGGGAGGGGGCGCCTCCACTTGCCTTGGGGGGCAAGTTTCCCCCCTTGGCCGCCGCCCCCTAGGAGATCCCATCTCCTAGGGCCGACGCCCCCCTGGGGTCCCTATATAAAGAGGGGGGGGGGGGTGGGAGGGAAGCCGCACCCTGACAGCTGGCGCCTCCCTCCCCCCCTTGCTACACCTCTCCCTCCCGTAGTCGCTTGGCGAAGCCCTGCCGGATCCCTGCTGCATCCACCACCACGCCGTCGTGCTGCTGGATCTTCATCAACCTCTCCTTCCCCCTTGATGGATCAAGAAGGAGGAGACGCCACGCTG